TTAGACTAAGCCTAAAACTGCTAAACATATTCATCCCAGTTATAAGGGTATAGGTATATTATACGTTATGTATTCGCTATTTGTTCATTCAACACATTTTCGTGTTTATTGTAGGCGGCGTAATTATATAATTTTATGCAAGATAATAATGACATTAATAGGCAACGTTTACAAAATAAAAACTTTTAACATTTAGTTTTAAACATTTTCGTCTTTGATATTACTATTACACCTATTGTTTCTGTACAAAAGAAATAACGAATTTTATTTTTCTCTGTTTAGTCGGTTGATAATGTTCTGTGATTAGCTGTCCGCAATTTTGGGCCGTGTCACCAAACAGCACTAATCACAGTACTAGTGAAACGTGGATTTACTTCTGAACCTTAGTGCTAGATAGCGTTGTAGTATCGTCGCCGTATATTCTCATCAGTTATCACCTTATCAGTCGGACGACAACGTTGCCGCCAAATTCACTCACTGCCTACGTATGTCGTGTATTGTTTATTTCTTTATTATTTTCTTTAATTCTCTTGACGATTTCATAAATTGTAAATTGTTTCGGCGGTTTTATTTGTACATCTATTTACCCAGGATACATATTGGACGTCATGAACACCACCGACGACGAAGATTTAAAAGCTCTGGCTTTGTTCCTTGACTCCGAAATCATAGACGATCCGATTGCGACGCCGGCAGAAGAAATTCAGGGAATCATCGTTGAAAATGGTAAGTATACCACCTACCAAATTTACTGTAGGTTTTGATATGATTTTTAAATCTGCTACCTTTATCTTGTTCCTTAGAAGTGAAAGACAACGCCAAGCCTACCGTAAAATCTAAGGGATCAACCTTTAGTGACTTTTTTGAATCAATGAAAACAAAAATTGTTGATTTGGACGAGGAGGTGATGAAAAAAGAACCTCTAAATAAAAAGCTTACTCCTAAAATGCCAACATTTGGATTTGATCCTGCAGCAGACCCCGTGTTTGGTCTACGTATGGTTAATCCGTTATTTTCATCTAAAGAAATTCAAAATAAAATGATTGGAAAAAAACCGGTATCTGTGAGTCAAGTTAGCAAACACTTTAGGACAGAGGACGTTTCTGATTGGGTCGTAGCTGGCGTTCTAGTCTACAAATCTCTTCCAAAGACTTCACAAAAAGGTATGATTGTATTTCATTTGATTATTTTGATTTTTTGATCAAGCCATAAGTTTTTTCTAGGTACTAGTTTCAGCATATGGAAGATAAGTGACTTGCAGCCTAGTATGATTACTGTTTCAATATTTTTATTTGGGCGTTCACACCAGGACTTGTGGAAAACAGATATAGGGTCTGTAATTGGTGTATTAAACCCAAAAGGTAACTTGTAATTATATTTATTTAACAAAATTCATTGTGGGCAACTAGATCCTAAGTGCAACAAAAGAGGTCTCTTGTTGTTTTTCTATTAGAGTAATATTTCTGGTAGAAAACATAGTTTACAAATAAAAAAAGACCTACATACTTCACACGTGGGTGTACCCACTTTTGTAGGTGGGAAGTTGGGAAGGTAGGTGTATAAACATCATTGTAAAACCAATGAATTTCTCGCTAAACTGAGAATCTAAAATTAAAAATATTAAAATTGGTAATGTCATGGTGTGCTGTATATATTTGCTGTTGTACCTATAATTGTGTTTTCGTTATTTCTCAATTATTTTTAAAACTACCTGGAAAATCAAAAAATGACCACTTTTATGCAACAATCAGATAACATTTTCTGAATGAAAAAGTTCTACACTTGATGGTATATCGAAACAAGATTTCTAGTAGTTACCAACAGACACAAAAAAAACAATAGATCCTTCATTACACTCCAAATCTAAAATAACTTTAATTTTAAAACTAAATATAGTGTTATAATTTTAAAATTTAAAATTAGTTGATTTATTATCAAATTTTACCATTAATCAAATTTAAAATACTTATATTTCCTAAATTAGCTTGATATTAAAAATTAAAATTTAACTTATTATATTTTAAAATAAGTACCATATTTAAAAATACATTTTGTTATTATTTTCAAACTTATTAAACCATATTACATTCTAAAATGTTTATATAATAATACTTAAAGTTTAAGTAGATTAAGTACATGTGTTTCATTTTATTGGTAGACCACTAACTTTTTGGTTATTAACCAATAATAATTATTTACATTTACTGTCAACTAATAATATTGTTTTTGTATATAGAATTGGATGGTAAAAACAAGAAAGATGAAGTTGCAATGTCAATAAATAGTGGTGATCAAGTGATGCTGTGGGGCCGATCCAAAGATTATGGGATATGTAAAGGAATTAAAAAAAATGGAGATAGGTGTGATATGTTTGTCAATGTTAACAAATGTGATGTTTGTACATTTCATATCAAAAAAGAGTACATCAAACATTGTGCTCAAAGAGCAAATATTGGAAATTCAAGACCAACTGCTGCTCATAGTTTACGAGACAAAGTATGTTGTTATATTATATTATAGTATGCATTTTTTTTTTTTAACATTATTGTTTTTTAGATATTGGGCAAAAATGAAGTGTTTTATGGTGGGCAAAGTTTTGTCTCCACTAAAGCTAATCATTCTAAACTAATGAAAGATGATCAAGTTAAGCTTCAACGATTGAATCCTGGCAAAAAGTCTGCTTCTGGTTCAATTGAACCATTTCTTGCGGCTCCTCGTAATACTATTGCTAATCGTCGAGCTAGCACTATTCAAAGTTTTGTAAACAGTATAAATGTTAATAAAGAAATGACTGGGTCCGGTAAAAAGAATATTGATCATAAAGATCCTTCACCAATGTGTACATTTAAAGATATATTAGGTAGTTCGTCAAATCTTAAGAATTTTGGATCCCAACGTTCAAAATTTGCCAAAGCAAATGCATTAAATTATATTAAATCAAATGGACCAATTGAAAAGGAAAATCCTAATTTATTTGAAAAAAGTACGGATGGTAGTAAGAAAAGAAAATTACCTGAAGATATTATTTTAGATTTAGGACAAGAAAAGAAAATCATTAAAGAAGAAAAAGTATCATCGAAATTTTTGGAACTTATGAAAGCTACTTCTCAGAATCAAGATCTCATTGAAACAGCTCGGCAAGAAGCAGAAGAAGAATATTTCGATCAAATGGACAAGAAAGAGAAACTGGAACACAAAATGATGAGCACATATAAGATACAATGTAAAGCCGTTCGGTGTCTAGTGTGTAAATATACTTGGTTTTCAGCGTCCGAATGGTGTAAAAAGGAAAAACATGCTTTAAAAGTACAAGATGCCACAAAACGGTTTTTCAAATGTGGTGACTGTAACACAAGAACTGTTTGTTTGACAATGTTTCCAATAATTTCATGCAACAATTGCAACGGATCTAAATGGGAACGAGCTCCGATGATGGCTCACAAAAAAATCGATGAAACCAAATTAAGTATTCGTGGAGATGAACAGTCTTTCTTAAATGCCATGCAACCCAAACTTAGCATGGGATTAATGGTTGCTGACAACGACTAAGAGCCGATTTGGTTCTTAGTCAATCAACTACATAAAACACTAAAACGTGAAATATTTTATTTGTTAATTTAAATTTCAAAATTCCTATTGTTTAGATTAATATTAAATTCATCTGTTATGACTATTGTTAACATATCAACATAAAATGTTATATCCTCTTAAATTCCAAAATTCAAATTTAAAGTAGTACATTGTAAAATTATTTTCTAAAAATAATGCATTTATTAATAATTAATAACAGATGTTCTGTATCGAGTATTTTTTTATTTATCATAATTTTAAAGTTTTTCATAAAGCATTTTGCATTCGAGATATTTCACACAATAATATTTCAATTAAAAATTAAAATAACGAAAACAAAAATCCGTGAGACAACACAGATAATTTTAATATCTTTAAGTTTGATAATAGTTTGATAATTCACTATGATATCAAAATTAAATGCACAAAGTTGTTCCTGCTGAATGAAAATTTGCTATGTTTGGCGGTTGTATGACAGACAGCACACAATGTCTTCTTAAATATAATAAATTATTATCGAGTGCTTAATTAATGAAAGTTTCAATATACAATTAATCCAATAGATAGATTAATTTAGTTTAATTTGTTGGAGTGTTAGTGTTCTATAAATATAAAGAAAATAACCTCTTTGAAAAATTATTTAGCCTTAATTATAACTATATAGGTTAGATATCCTAAAAATGCATACGTATAATTCAGGTAAGTTTTTTTTTCTAAACTAATAATAATTTAAAAAAAAATTATTGTTACCAACCAATTGTTATTTTTATGTACTTATGAATAAAACATAAATCTGCAACAATAATACTTGATATCATAACTGGTTACCACTTAACATTTTAATTTTTGAAATATAAATCGATTTATTGATTTCAGTAGCTAAGTTAGTACAATGGCATAGACGCGCCGTGAACTTTACGTAACAAGTCAACAGTTTATTTGATTAGTTTAATGTTGAATTCAATTAATATTTTCACTAGGTAAGTAGGTATTACATTTTTAACTGCTTCACAATATTAAATAGATAGGTATTGTGTTTACCTATGTGCCTGTATGATGTTGTGTTTCTGGTTTTGATATCATGTATCTAATAATTCAAATTTATTTTAGATATTTTAGAGTTTCATTAAATAAAAGTCTGTTAAATAGAAGTTCGACTGTATTATATAAAATATTTTCTTTTCTGCCAAAAAAAGTATTATCAGATATTACTGTGAAAACACTTTAAAACTTTCTGCAAATATTTTTATTTTCTAATGAACATTTTCAAAAAAATATTTCTGCGGGATATATATGTATTGTATATGCTATTAAATCTAATCCTCATCTACTAATTAAATATTTTATATAGATAATATAGATACACTAATACAGTCGAACCTCTATTTAACGAAACTCTCTATACAATGGAACCATGGAATTTTCATTCTGAAGCGAATTAATTTTGTGTTACTTTTCTTCAACAGATATAAAATCTATTGATATTTATAAAGTACGCGCTCGTCAAGTATACCTATAGAATACAAGACGATCTATTACAGTATCTAGGTGCCTACAATAAAATCAGTTGTCGCCAAATTGTCGCTGGTCGTTCATTAGTTCGTGTTGCATGCTTTATAAACGCGTATTATGTAAGTAAGAATCAATTTTTCATAAAGAAAAATGTTGTTTGTATTTTTTTTCAATTTTTTTTTTTAACTGAAAAAAGGTACTTATTTCATATTATTGTACACCTACATACATATTTAAATACATTTCGTACAGTAAAAGTATAACCTAAGTTTTTAAGAAAAAAAAAAAAAAAAATTATTATTTCTATTTAACGAATTTTTTTTCAAAGAATCGTCAAGTTTGTTTAACAGAGGTTTGATTGTATTATACATTGCATAAACGCTGTCAAAATATATTTTGAGTTATATATATATATTTTCACAAACATTTCAAAAACATGTACCTACACGTATACACAAATACAAAATATTGTGTAATAATATTATGTAGGTGCACTGTGTATTAAATTGATAGTTAGTGTTGCATTTTTTCAAAAACAGTAAATTGATATAGTAAATCGTAATAAATCAAATATTAACAGAAAAAAATTCTTTAGATGCCTATAGTTGGCCATAAGTGGCCACTACAGTACTCCATTCGATTTAAAATAAGAAATTAAAGACTTTCAAGCTATATTTATCACGGTCTTGTCAAGCTTTTTTATTATATCGTTTATTTTCGGCGTGTTGGACGATTTTCCATTACTCCTCTTGTAGGTAAACGTGTCACATTCTGTAATTTAAAAAGTTACATCTTATAACATAACTATAACCAGAGGATAAATCACTGATTAATATTATGTACACCAGATTCCAAAATACTGTGATTTTTCAAACGATTACCAAAGTTTCCGATACAAGATTGTCAAAGATTTCCTATACAATTACCAAATATGTTCGTGATCACTAAATATTTGTACACTGATTTAGGTTAAGTGATTTACCCTTCGACTAAAATAACAAACTGTAACAAGTTGAATTGTTTCGTAATAACTAATAAGTAATAACATACTTATAGACAAATTTGTAATTTATCGTTTTTAACGCGTCTTCCGAACTACACGGACGTGGTAATTCGAGGGCGGTCGGGGAGATCCTCGGTGACGTGTTGCGCGTAACGATGACGAGGAAGTGAGGGGCGGGGAATAAAATAAATAAACCGTCTTCACCACGGCGCAATGGTTGTGCCGGATATTCATGGCAGCTTTGTCTTTATAAAATATAATAATGACAAAAAAAAAAAAAATAATAAAAATATATATACGATAAAACTCACGGTGCCGTGAAAACGACGACGATGATGGTCGACAAAAACGGGACGTTTATCGGTTTTGTTATTATTTATTTATTATTAGTATCGTTTTATCTCTCTCTCTCTCTCTCTCTCTCTCTTTCTTTCCGTATTTTATCTTATTATCCTTCGAATGAATTCGATTCGCATCGGCTGTTGTTTTTTCCATTTTTCAAACCTACTGTTTTTTTCAAAAATTGTTTTTTATGTGTACATAGATACTTTCATATTATTATTATATACCGTTCGTCGCACGATATATCATCGCTCTCGCATAATGCGCATTAATGTGCCAAGTTATTATTACGGATGTACGGTCGAGAATATCCGTGCCATTATATACCTATAACGACATCCGCGTAAGTCCGCGGAAGTACTTGCTCTCGTACTTGCATAATATTTTGTAATATACGGGGTGACGACGAGACCGGGTACGTTTTTTTCTTCTCCCTCGCCTGTTTTCGTCGTCTCAGTCCATATATCCACCCGACTCGGTCTCCTTGCACATCGCTGCTCCAGCAGCAGTCGTCTCGTATATCATCTGCACTGTCGGCAATCGTGTTTAACTATCGTCATCTTTTTTACGGGTTTTCTCTATTCCACTCCTTCCGTGTCCATGTACATTCATTTGTAGTACTATGTTTGCCGCTGTCATTAACTATCTAGGTATCTTTTCCAGTGATGTCCGTGCCAGCTCGTGTCAATTCTCACTCGCCATAACGACTATTTAAACGATACCTATATACAATATATAATATTGCTACCCCTTGAAAACACCCATTTATTATTATTCCATTCGATCTATATTTATATACATATAGTTCAAACATATTATCCGTATGTGTGCTACAATGTAACATTGTCACATTCATCTTCTCATCCATCCTGTTCTGTCTATTGCCGAACATTCTCGATTATATCCACTTATCTCACTAATTCGCCGTGTATACTTATTATTAATCCTAATATGTCTCGCACCCTCATAAAATCTAACGTTATTTTATCAATGACCTATCATCTTTACTTCGTGGAACTATAGTGTATCCGGTATGTACAACTAGGGTCGTCTACCACCACACCCCCCTCTCCTCCGGTTAGATTTTTTCGTAATTATCAGTCGGCATTTGTTTAATAGCAGGGAGCCATCGGCAACTATACGACTTGTTAAAAAACTTTTTTCCTAGATTTCTTTAGCCTATAATTTCTTTTAATAAAAAAAATTATATAATATTAATATAGTAACAGGTCACATTATTTGGATTTTTAAAACGGCAATTGCCATTTACCATTTGCCGTAAACCAAGGATGATACATTGACACTATTGAAAGTTTAATTTGTTATAAAAAAATATAGAATATAAGTTGATATTTATTCGATAACTATTGACTCCACAATAGTATTAATCAAAATATTGCCGGATGCTAAAGATCTGGACATCTTGGCGAAATTAGCCAAAGTGGCGAAAGGCAATTCGGTGAAAGACATTTTGGCGAATCGTTTTCGGCGAACGGACATATATATATGCTTCAGAAGGTTATAACTTTTGTTAAATTTGATGTACTATTAAATTTAAAAAAGATTATTATTATTTATTTGATTTTGTTGAGTTTGTGATAAATGCTGATTGATAGATTCGAATAAGACTTATTTTTTTTAGTCTGAAAATAGTCCCGTACATATATGGCTGTATCACACACATACAAAAAACAAATATTATTAATTAATTATAATTATGCATAGAATGGTTCAAAACGTTTTAGTTCTATTATTTGTATTTTTTAAATGATTTTTAATATTTATCAAATTTTAATTATTTGCTTAAGGTAGTGCACCTCAACTATCGTAAAGAAAAACCAAGAATTTGTATACTTTATATAAGTAGTTTGTTTCAAGGAATTCCAAGTTGAAATGTTTTCAGTTGGCATAAATGAAATTTCTGTCGACTTTATATCACCTTCCACTCTCCCCCCCCGTCAACATTGTATAAAATTGGCCCTAAGTATAGCGGTGGTCAAGCGGGAAAAGGGGATATATCGTACATCAAATATGTAAAATAAATAAATAAATACCACCCTCTCCCATTAATGAATTTGTTTTAAATATATTTAATATACAGGGTGATTTTTTAAATATGCTAAGGACTCACCCCATTTTTATAGTTAAATTATGCAAAATTAAAATTTTTATTTTTGGAATTATTAAATGTAGTGATAGAAGATATTTTCGAGTACAAATATTTTTCACAACGCTTAAGAAATGTCGTGTGACAATAACAACTTCGGTTTTTCAAATGAGAATCTACATGTTTTAATGACAATTTTCAATCCGCTAATTTTCTAAAAATATTTACGTATTATAATTGAAATTTGAACGAAAAGTTTCTGAGTTGCCCTATTTTAAATACTAAAAACTAATAACTACAAGAATTAAACAAGAAATTGTCTATACACGATTCCTATGGAATAATCTATACCGAATCCCATAAAAAAGCTATTTTCCTTAACATTTAATGCAGAATAACTCAGAAATTTTTCGTTCAAATTTTGATTACAATACGTCAACATTTTCAAAAAAATCATCCATTTGATAATTTGTATCAAAACAAGAAGGTTCTTTAGGAGGATAATTCTTAAATGTGAAAAATCTATGTACGCTTAGAAATGTCGTCGTTCACTGCACTTATTAATTCTAAAAATCAGAATTTGTATTTGTACAATTTAATCATACAAATAGGGTGATCATGCTTAAAAAATCACCCTGTTTATTATATCATGTCTTTATAGTTATAAAAAAAAAATTATGTAAATAACAATAGTTTTTACAAATTATCCTTATCGCCCTCTCTTTCCCCCTCATGAAAAAAACGTTCGATCGCCACTGGGTGTGGTATATCATATACAATTATTCTATCGGATACGACGAGATAATACATAAATGTACGATGTTTTTTTTTGTATTTCGATGTAAAAAAAAAAAAAAAAATGATGAGCCATCCCGTAGGGCGCGTACAATACATAGTATAGGTACTCGTATACAACACGATAATATAGGTATATCGAATGAGACAATAACAATACGACGGGGGGGAAAAAAAAAAAAAGAAAACTCCAACGACGATGTGGTCTCTAAAAGTCTTTGTCCCGCAAAAGATATATACACACGTATGTATATACCTCGCGGAAAAGCGCGCGGGCCAATCGATTTTCGTTCAGGGTGTGCCGCCGGCGGCGGCGGTTACCCCTCGTCGCATCCCTTTTGAAAAGAAAAAAAACCTTTGCCGCTCGGCGAGGGAAAACTTTTAGTTTTTTGGATATAATCAATACGAGTGTCAAAATGGTTGTGCGTGGAATTTATGTTATTTTGAATAACAATCGCTTTTGCACAGTGTACACGCGCCCGCACATATACATATTTGAATATTTCAAGAAACGTGATTACACTACGATTCACCAATAACGACGACACCGCCCCGCCATAATAATACACCACCAACTGCCGTTTAATATTGACCGTTGTCGTCGTCGCGGAATTCGATCTCCCCAAAAAATGTTTCCCTAGGACGAAACGTTCGTAACAATTTTTTTTCACAGTCCGATTGAAATTCGAATTAACTTTTATTTCGTATTATTTTTATTCGAAACATTTGTTTTTTTTTCAAGCTTCCCGGAGATTTTTCACGATATTTATAAAACTGCGTGATTCTTTCAACGTGAACCACAGCGATTATTCGTTCGAAGATTTCGAGTATATATATTTTGATTTAGTGATTTGATTGTAACTCACTATAACCATCTTATTCTGTAGCATTCACAGATCATTTAGTGCCTTCAGTGGCGTG